GGACCACTCGTAAAACCATGATGACTTAGGACTTGTGCCCCTCTGGTGGCATACGATTTTGTGCACCAAGTCCTGTGCATGTATGTAATAATGTAATGTACTGTAATGCACCGTACTGTAACGTAATGTACTGTAGTGTAATGTAATGTAGTGTGATGTAATGTACTGTGCTGTACTGTACTGTAAATTACTGTAATGTATGTATGTAGGTTCTGATGACTTAGGACTTGTGCCCCTCTGGTGACATACGATTTTGTGCACCAAGCCCTGTCCATGTATGTAATGTAATGTAATGTACTGCCCTGTACCGTAACGTACTGTCGTGTAATGTAGTGTACTGTAGTGTAATGTAATGTACTGTTTTGTGATGTAATGTACTGTACTGTACCGTAGTGTAATGTAAGTATGTACGTTCTGATGACTTAGGACTTGTGCCCCTCTGGTGACGTACGATTTTGTGCACCAAGTCCTGTGCATGTATGTAATGTAATTTACTGTAATGTACTGTAATGTAATGTAATGTCCTGTAGTGTAATGTAATGTACTGTAATGTAATGTGATGTAAGTATGTAGGTTCTGATTACTTAGGACTTGTGCCCATCTTGAAAAATCTCTGAGTTTCATTTTTTCCTTCGATTTATATACAGACATTATTTTAAAGAAATTAAATATATTGAAAAATATCAATATTCATTGTTTTTATCATTTTTGAAATATTTTTGAAATATATTTTGATATTTATTCTTTCTGCTTATACTTTTTAAATCTATATATACGTATGTTTTTAACGTATTGTCATGTATTGTACTGTAATGTAATGTAATATATGTATGTACGTTCTGATGACTTAGGACTTGTGCCCCTCTGGTGACATACGATTTTGTGCACCAAGTCCTGTGCATGTATGTAATGTAATGTGCTGTAATGTGCTGTAATGTAATGTAATGTAATGTACTGTATTTTACTGTAATGTAATGTACTGTAGTGTGATGTAATGTACTGTACTTTACTGTAAGGTAATGTAATGTACTGTAGTGTAATGTACTGTACTGTACTGTAATGTAAGTATGTAGGTTCTGATCACTTAGGACTTGTGCCCCTCTAGTGACATACGATTTTGTGCACCAAGTCCTGTGCATGTATGTATATAATGCAATGTACTGTAATGTGCTGTAATGTGCTGTAATGTAATGTACTGTAGTGTAATGTAATGTACTGTACTTTACTGTAATGTAGTGATGTAATTTGCTGTCTTGTAATGTAATGTAAGTATGTAGGTTCTGATAACTGATTAAGAGAAGATTTTTATTTGTTTTAACCCTAAAAAGTGCTTGAGTCCAATCACAACCCCAGTGACTTAGGACTTGGTGCACACAAATCACCTGGTAAGAACACCAGTGGCCTAGGACTTGGTGCACAAAATCCTATGTCACTATGGTGGCCTAAGTCCTAAGGCATCAGCCCGAAATATATATATGTGTGTGTGTGTACATGCATATAGACATACCTTTAAAAGCCAAAAGAAAAAAAAACGAGGTATAAGTACTTATGGTACCGACCTGTTTGCCCCTCGACCTTTTGCCAATCTTTTTTTGAACGTGTTTGGCAGGGTGCAGCGCATGAGGCACGATTGGGCACGAAATGCTGGACATGGCTGGCTGCATTCATGGCAGTAGTCTTTCAAAGAAAAGGATGAACTCGGATTATACGCATACAATGCCAAGGTGACTTTGTTGTATACAATGTTCACGGCACATGTGCAGCGACCTTGTTCAGGGTGCCGTGTTGTTTTCTTGAAACGGACTGTGCTGGCTTCGAGCTGGGTAGAAGTGCAGAAGTCATTTGCCAAGCAGGGCATGTAATACATACACAAAATATCACAAAATCACATATCCCAATCATACATAAAGTCATGTATACGCATATATATATATAATTTACATACACATATGCTAAGGAGTTTGCACGTGGTGGTGGGTCTTCCCATACAGTCCTTCAAACGATCTTGACAGATATGAATCGGACTCGGGAAGACACCAAACATGTCCAATCATGGGTTCACTTGTTCTGTGTTCGGATAGCAAGATTTTTTCCAACTGGTACCGGCCATGGTAAACGTTCTACGCACACACTTTGCACTTTTCCACACGGCTGCTTTCAATACGAACGAGAGGTCCACCAGCGTCAGTATAGCAGTCACTCCTACTCGGGCCTTTGAAACCGAAGATACTCTTGGATTTCCTTTGGATTGCCTTTGGAATGCCTTTGGATTGCCTTTGGATTCCCTTGATTCTCACATTTCCCATGCTTCATCCGATAAGACCCTGCTGGCGCATGACTGGCGGCGGTTTTGTTGGCAGATTGGAGCTCTGGGTTGAGGGTTTTTGCGTCATTTAAAGTTTCATGGTCAAAGATTGAGGAGTTGCCATGACAGCATGACTGTGGACAGTTTCAATACAGATATTTGAGCGTGTGTGAAAATGGTGGTATTGATAGGGAAAACGATGATAAACCATCAAATTTGCGGGCACCCTAGGTTCACACAAACCTATTTATTTGGCAGGACACAACCAGATTCACCAGCGCACATGCATGGAGCAAAAGCACAATCTAACACACAAGAACAACAAAGCCATCAAGAGTTTGTTGTAGTTGGTGTGTTTGGTTGTGGTGGTTGTTGTCGGCCTTTTCAATATGTGTTTCCTTTGATCCAGAACTCACCGCAGTGACTGCCTATGCCCGAAGCATTGATGCCAACTGCGCGTACGCACAGCTCCTGCGCACAGCAAAATCAGGGCGTCCACAGATCTTTGTATGATTTGATATGAGGCCTGAGGGATTCCGAGGAATTCGTTCTGATTCTTTCAGGGACCTTTGTATGAAGGAAGGAAGCGTCAAAAACCCACAGACACAGCTTGGATGCTAGAAAAGCAAAGACCCTCAGATGGAAGCTGGATATTATGAACAGCTATAAATTTCCAGGGCCTACTTTCCGAACGATTGGAGTAAGTGATGCTGACATGGGTGTTCTCATTCGGATTGTGCTCCAAAGGAATCATGTTGAATAGAACTTCGGGCACGGTTTCTTGTAAGAAGGGTTTCCTGAAAGTTTGTGCTCTGGTGTTATGAATCGGAGCTTTGACTTTCAGGGCATCGGGCGAAAGCATTGATGTGAGTTGACTCACAGCAGACCAGAACCTCCAAAGTCAGCTGCACCAAAGTTGACATGTGGCGCAAGGCATCGTGGCTCTGCAGCATTTGCATCTCAAGCTCTCTGGCCAGGGTTCTGACAAGATGACATGTCGTGAGAGCGTAGAATGTTGTGACACGTTGTGACGCACAACCTCATTAGCAAACAGTGATTGGCACAAAAGCAAAACTACTTCAGACATCCCCATTCTAGGGTGAGAAAACGGAAAGCAGAACACATTGAAACCATATTTTCTGCATTGCAATTGCTCATTTATATTCATCAACTTTGGCATGCTCGCTTTGCTGCGATTTCAAAAAACTGGTCAGTCTATGCATTGCGGAACGAAGGCTGCACAATGTCATCACTGTGTAACACAAGCGAGTTTGACATTGATCGCCCCAGGCATTGAGACGTGTGTTGCATGTATGGCAACAAGTATATATTCTTTGTTTGTCACAGCACAGTGCCTCAAGCGCAGCCAAGATCAGCGTAGTCAGATGTTGTCAGATGCTGTCAGGCCTGTGGTGACGTGTCGGACTTTCGTCCCTACAGATGTGCATATAGACTGCATAGTCTGCATAGGTGTAGCACAGCGTAGCACAGCACACAGTGGGCTGCACATACACCTTGAGGATTTTGAGGCTATCCAGTGTGGCTCTCAAGCCATCCCCGAGGCAAGTCTGCCAAGCTACAAAAAGAATGGGCAGCAAAAACAGCCGACATGATCCAACACTCTTAATATTGGATATATACTTTGTTCAAGTACCAGTAGTACCGCACAAGGCGGTGTGGCGGAAGTTTCAAAAATAGGAAACCTATAGGAGAGATTGGTTGTTGTGAATCAGGGATGGCAGAGCGAATCCACTGATGGACCGAAAGGTGCTTGAGGTCTCCTCTCTTTCTCTCTCATAATGCTTTATACAGAGTAAGATCCACATTCAGCATGGCTACAACTCACTGTACATATCCAACAGACCTCAATGAGTGTGACAGACCTTAAAGATTGTACAAAAAATATGGCGCTTGGTACTCACAGTATCCAGCATTCTGCTAGGGACATAGCGACTGGCATGCAGGGGTGCCATGGAGTACCAAGCAATAATTTTTCTACGTGTCGTTTCCGTTCGGACTTTTGGCACGTTATTCGCTTCAGACGAGTGCCTGTTGGTTTCCACTTAGAACACAACCACATGTTCAATCATTTACTTACATAGATCAGTAAATCATCGTTATTTTTTTAATAGAAATGGTCCTTGCCTTAAGCAGAATGTTCCAGTGCCATGGGTGCAGCTGACAACTCTGGGACCCAAGAGGCCAAGAAAAAACGAAGCTAAGCAGCCGTGGTTCCAATCATGTTCTTCATTTCGGGGTACCGTAAATTTGGTGAATGGTGGGGAAATAGGATAATGCAGCTAATGCTCGCAGCCTATTGAATGCATACTAATATGCACATAGCAGAAAGCAAAAATTTGGCCTGGTAGCTGATACTCATGACTTGAACCCCTGACTTTCTTCGACGTCTAGCTGCCCAGAGATTGAGGAACCAGCCATGGCTTCACTCGCTGTTGATCCTTTCAAGCTTGCAATACGCAGGCTGTAGATCCATATCTGCGGATGCCTCTCTTGAGATGGTACAGACCATGGTGCAGGATCCCTTTTGCGAAATGAAGCGAAAAGAACAGTCCATGCTGGAAAGTCATAACCCTCATAACCCCAAATCCTTCCAAATCCACCCATGATATCCTAATGATATCCTCATGATATTATGTCATTCCAACTCTTCATAAATAGCCGACGCCCGAAACGTCACGTGTCC